AGACCGCATTTGATTGGCCAGTTTTAGACAGAACCGTATTTAAAAATTTGTGATAGATTAGAAATTTCAAATCAGCTGTAATTAAGACATTAAGGAAAAGAAATTAAACACACTCAAACTGAGTCCATATAATATGGATATTTTTATCAAAAATACATTCAAACCAGCTAAAAATTAACTATTTTTCTCTTTAATTCGGTCCTGCACTGTCGACTTTGAACTACCATACTGTTTACATATTTCAAGCAATTTCTCAACATTTCTCACAGCTTCGACCGTCTCCTTTAGTGTCAAAACTCAATATCTTCGTTACTATTAGAGTTGCAGAAAAAGTTAAATATAAAAGTTGTAGGCTACAACCTACAAATTTTAGCTACACAGGTTGTCTCATAAATTAGTGGCAATATAAATTTATATTGTTCTAAATGGGACACCCCGTATTTCTGTTGATGTTTAGAAGCGCCTTTTCTTGGCCATTCTCCCAACGTATGGTTTCGAAGGTTTGTACTGAGTGTTTCGGACTATATGGCCACTTTTGCATTAAGCTCATTGTACATTTGTCTTACCGCATCTTAAGCACACTTTAATCAAAATCTTTTTTATTATACTGAGTGATGGAAACAGTGGAAGACATTCATATCCAATGTTTCTTATGTATATACATTGTCCATCCGAGGCATATAGGGTGAGTCAAGACGGAAAGATGTAATTTTCTCGAAAAATTGAAATGCAACACCCGATATGTTATATCTCTATTCAATTCCCTATACCCAAGCCTAGTTATTTTTGAGATATTCCGTGCTTTATAGGTAAAAACCATAATAATATCGAAATTATTAGCAAACATATAGGTTGGCCATGATTTTTTGGCAAACGTGTCATCGTAAACTTCAGTAGTAAAGTTTCGCTTAGAAATGAATTTTTTTACAGGAAGAAAGTGTGTTTCAAGTTATGGTCCGCGTAACTGAAGATTTCCATATAAGAGTTTGGCGTATTTCAAAAGACTTAGACATTAATCAATCATCCGTGCACAATATACTTCAAAAAATGCACCCCTACCCTATACAATTGCACCAAGAGCTAAGCAAAAACGATTACGTATTTAGGCTGACATTTTGTGGCTGGGCACAAGAAAAAATACGTGACCAAGAAGATTTTTTTAAAAATGTTCTGTTCTCCGACGAATCAACTTTCCAAAATTATGGTTTTCACTTTTAAAACATAGAAAATCTAAGAAAATACTAGATTTGGGTATAGGCAATGCTTAATAAAACTGAAAAAAAAAACCCGAAACCATACACAGGCAGAATGTCCAAGAAAAGGCGCTTCTAAAAATTAACAGAAGTACAGGGTGTCCCATTTGAATGATACATGTTTATATTGCCACTAATTTATGGAACGCCCTTCATAGCTTTTTACAACTTTTTTATTTAACTTTTCTCTGCAACTCTAATAGTAACGATGAAGACAAAATTTGGACACCCTGCATGCACATAAAAATACCTATCTCTTTAATTAATGTGCATCCCATTTTAAAAAATCTGGTGTATTACAAACACTCTTTAAGGCTATATTCTCTGGTAAAAAAGCATAACAAGAATGATGGAAGTTACCCAAATTATGGTTTGAAATGTTTACTTCCGGCTTTGCATCCTATTTTTTAAATTTCTATATTTAAGGAAATCGTATAAATATAAACTATAATTTTCTGCCATATATATAATGATCCATAAAGCAAAAAAAAAATGCGTCAAGTAGATTCACTCTATACTTCATACGCTTTCGTTAGATGTTTCACAAAGAAAAGGGATGAGTCAAGCCGTTTCAAAAGGTGAAATTGAATCGTGATTAGGTTGGTTCACTAAGGTACGATGAATCTTGGACTTGCATATCAAACATATAAAGCAAACCTATAATATTTCTGTTTCCATGTAGGGAAAATATGTGTGACTAATTATGTCTACCAGGTGCATAGTATCACAGATCAGCAGCTTCTTAATGACACTGATCAACAGCCAAAAAATATCCTAAATAAAATCAACAAAATATTACTATTTTTAATGTGCTAAAACCGGAATGAAACTTATTTTTTCAATATTAGTTCAAGTTATAGAGATACGGTAATTATATGTGTTCCTGCTGTGACAGTGTTAATATACTGTAATTCACAATAATGCACGTGCTACATTTTTATATTCCATGTAGGGAAAATATGTGTGACTAATTATGTCTACCAGGTGCATAGTATCACAGATCAGCAGCTTCTTAATGACACTGATCAACAGCCAAAAAATATCCTAAATAAAATCAACAAAATATTACTATTTTTAATGTGCTAAAACCGGAATGAAACTTATTTTTTCAATATTAGTTCAAGTTTTAGAGATACGGTAATTATATGTGTTCCTGCTGTGACAGTGTTAATATACTGTAATTCACAATAATGCACGTGCTACATTTTTATATTCGGCAAGGAAAGATGATGTAATCGGCATGATTGTGTTACGTTATACATACGTGTACATTATATTGTTTTATATTAGCCATTTTTTCCTCAGTTGGCTGACAGCGTTCATGCAAGATGTCTCGAAAGTGTGTAAACAATCCAGATCAGTCTTGTTACGTGTGTGGTGATGTGACTTTTGCGTCTCAGAGACGGTCTATTACTCCACTAATAACAAAGGCGTATCAGCTTTATTTCGGTTGTAAACTAGGTGATCAAGACAAACAGTGGGCACCCCACATCTGCTGTAATACATGTGCTTCAAGTCTGAGGAGCTGGTTAAATGGCAAAAAACGGTATATGCGCTTTGCTGTCGCAATGGTTTGGAGAGAGCTTACAAATCATGTTAATGATTGTTACTTTTGCATGGTACCTTGTGTTGGACAAGCCACAGGTATGTTCAAGAAAAAAAAATCGGTTATTAACTACCCAAACATACCATCTGCGATGAGACCTGTGCCTCACAGTGACGAAAATCCTATTCCAAAAGCCCCAGAATCCTACACTTGCGAATCAGAAAACGAATCAGATCATGGCGATCGAGTGATTAGTCAGGAAGAAGATATGCCATCAACGTCAAGAGATCCTGATTTTATACCGAGCACGTCATGCCACCAACCGCACAAAATAACACAGTCAGAATTAAATGATCTTGTAAGAGATTTAGAACTTCCAAAATGTAAGGCAGAGTTACTTGGATCAAGACTGCAGCAGTGGAACTTGTTAGAAGACGATGTTTCGGTATGTGTTTTTCGTAAACGCCACAAAGACTTAGAACCATTTTTCAATATGGAGAATAACTTGGTTTTCTGCAGTAATATTAACGGCTTACTGGCGGCTTTAAATATAAACTATAACCCAGAAGAATGGAGATTGTTTATAGACAGTTCAACATTGAGTTTAAAGGCAGTGTTATTGCATATTGGAAATATTTTACCATCTCTTCCTGTAGGGTATGCAGTTCACATGAAAGAATCATATGACAATATGAAGTACCTATTGACATGCATAAAATACGATGAGCACCAATGGCATATTTGTGGCGATTTGAAAGTTGTTGCACTTTTACTTGGGCTGCAGTTAGGCTACACAAAGTTTTGTTGTTTTTTGTGTGAATGGGACAGTCGGGCAAAGGCACTTCATAACAAAACTGGCCTGTTCGTCAATTCCTAGAGCCAGGTCAAAAAAATGTACAGCATATGCCATTAGTAGATTCGAAAAAAAATTTATTACCATCACTGCATATCAAATTGGGCTTTGTCAAGGCATTAGATAGAGATGGGTCAGCTTTTTAATAGCTGCGTCAGAAATTTCCAAGACTAAATGAGGCAAAGGTTAGAGAAGGTATTTTTGTTGGGCCACAGATTCGAAATATTTTGAAAGATACACAGTTTGAACAAACTTTTACAGGTATTGAAAAAACTGCTTGTAATGATTTCCGTCTGATAGTCACTAATTTCTTGGGGAATAGAAAAGCTGACAACTATAAAACCCTTGTCAAAAATATGGTGTCATCGTATCAAAAGATATGTCTCTTAAGATACATTTCCTACACTCACACCTGGACTTTTTTCCTGACAATTGCGGAGCCGTAAGTGATGAGCACGGCGAACGTTTTCATCAGGATATTTCAACAATGGAAAAAAGGTACCAGGGAAATTGGAATCCTTCCATGCTTGCAGACTACTGTTGGACTCTTGGTAGAGATGCTCCAGAAACGATCCATAAAAGAACAGCAAAAAGACAGCGCATATAGTGATTCTTATAAGTATATGAATCTTGTTACTTTTTTTAATATATCCTTAACAATAAAAAGTTTTTTTTCTAAACCGCAACTAATTTTTTTATTTCATTGTCATTTTTAGATTCAGCGCCCCAAAATTAACAAAGAAGTGTACTTTTCCCACAAGATACAATTAAAAAACTAAAATTTGTTGTCCAGTGTAATAGAAGGTCTTTCACTGACACCAAATTAATAATTGAATAAATAATAAAATAAAAAATTCAAATTATTTTGAAATGTATTATTCTAGCAAGTATTCAAGCAATATGATTAATAGAAGAATAGGCTAAAATTTTTCGGAAACTCGGTATAGTTGATGAATGTAAGGAAAACTGTCAGCCTCGTTTCAAGATAGTTCCATTAGTGGTCGCTTACATAAGAACTGTTTTTTATAGGTAGGTAAACTTGTTAGAAAAGTATTTCATATGTTTAAGTTCTTCAACTATTTTAATGATCAGTGGTATCTTGTTTTTAACACTGCACAATTTCTTAATAAAAAGGACGCTTCCATCCCTTGTTGGAGAATTTTTACAGATTTTTATTATAGTTGGACGCGATCTGGTAACTTTGTATTTTATAACGCGATTCATGCTATACATTTTTCAAAATCTGATAAATTTGCCGCGAATTATTTAATTCTAGCGTCTGATTGAATTCTATAAACATCAGTAATAATTATGGTAGAAAATCAATAGATGTAAAAAGACAACTTACGTAGGACCTTCGCCCTAAAGTTTTCAACAGAATCCGATCAGTCTTCCACATTTTCAAACTTTTCTTCAAACGACTAAGCAAAATTACAATTTTTTCCAGGTTTATTATTTTTTTGTGGAATATTTCTTAGGATTCTAGGAGTTCAGCCCATTTGTAATTTTTTTCACAACTACTACCTCCTACGTCGATACCACGTTGATACGTATGTCTTCTTCTCGAGATTAACGTTATTTGTATATTGTGTTATTCCGAGATGACGCCCGGTTATCGTCAGTTTCACAATTTGTTATTTATACACCAAATCGGTATTACCACACGTAACCTCTTGACCCGTCTTTTGTTTTATGACATATAAGGTGTCCCAAAATCACAGCCCTTACGCTGGTGATCGCGGGTGGCGAAATCGAAAATTAAGCGGTGAGAAAGAATGTGGTCAAGTGAGTTGACTCTGTACTTCCTACTACTCGTTGTCATCAGTTCGTAAAGGCACAAGTTCGCGACTTCAAAACATAGAGATCGAGGGGGCTCCCAAAAATAACCGGAATTATTTTTTAAAAGCTATTTATTTTCAACTTTTTCACAAAGTAACCTTATCTGCTTAGAAACCGTGCTCTTAACATGATCAGGAGGGACAAAAAGACATATATCGAAAATTTGGCAAATGAAAATGATTCAAAAAAATTGTGGAAGTCTTTCAAACAACTTGATATAAATTTTCGTAGTAAACCAACCTTTCCGGCAAGTTTTAATGACCCTACCAAAATTAATGATTATTTTATGTCTGTTTATAGCTATAAACCTGTTGATTCACTAGTTTGCGAAAACTATTTCAAAAATAAATTAAGCTCTGAATATATTTTTTTATTGAATAAGATTAGTTCAAATGACGTATTACAGGCAATAGGGAGCCTAAAATCTGATACGTAGGGAATTGATGGTATATCTCTGTCAACGATCCAGCTTTGCCTGTCAGTTATTCTCCATCACATCGTCCACATCTTTAACGACTGTTTGGAAAAAGGCTACTTTCCAAACACATGGAAACAAGCTCTAATTATTCCAATTCCTAAAAAAATGAAACCCACTGAGTATAATGATCTCAGACCTATCAGTTTATTACCAATTTTATCCAAAATTTTAGAGAAAATTATAAAGTTCCAATTGACCGCTTACCTAGAAAAATTCTTTATACTTCCCGACACTCAATCCGGATTTAGAAAAAATTATAGTACAACATCTGCCCTACTTAAGCTGCAAGACAATATTTTAAGTGCCTTAGATAAGAAAATGGCACTAGCCTTAATCTCTATAGACTATTCGAAAGCCTTTGACAGCATCAATCATAAATTATTACTTGCGAAATTAAATTACATAGGTCTTGACAGTGTATCCCTTTCATTTTTCGACAGTTACCTTCATCAAAGTACTCAGTGTGTTTTTCTCAATCAAGAAATGTATCAAGTGACAATAATTCCCTCAGGCGTACCTCAGGGCTTTGTATTGGGACCGCTTCTGTTCCTCATATACACGTTCGACTTAAGCAAAAGTATTGATAATTCTCATGTTCAGTCATTTGCAGACGATACGCAATTGCTTCATTATTTTAACCCAGATAATGTCAATAATACTACTCAAATTTTACAAAACGATGTTAATAAATTAATTAAATACTCTTTAGATCACAATCTACTTATTAATCCACAAAAATCTAAAATGTTATTATTTTGCGCACAAAGAAAAACATACAATGTAACACAGCTCTTGAACATTCAGATAAATAACCAAATCTTGCAATTTTCTGATTCTGCAAAAATTCTTGGTGTTGTTTTTGATACAAAGTTAAGGTTTATTGAACATGTTAAAAGTATATCTCAGAAAACCTACCTACGGCTGCGCACTCTTATAGCAAACAGGTATTTACTAAATTTTAAGATGCGTAAAAAACTATGTGAAGCATTGGTCATATCTATACTAAATTATTGTAATATCGTATACTATACTTGTTTAGACAATTTCATTAAAAACGTTATTCAAGTTATTCAAAACAATTGTATACGATTCATTTTTGGCTTGCGTAAATTTGATCATGTATCGGCGAAATATCCCGTTCTAAACTGGTTAAAAATTAATGACAGGGTCAAGTATCACTATTCAGTTTTTGTTCACAAATTGCTGCTCACGTCTAAACCTTATTACTTGAAGGAAAAAATTTCATTTAATAATGATGTTCACTGTAGAACTCTCAGAGAAAATAATATTAGAATACCCCTGCATACGTCTACACTTTTTAAACGCAGTTTTTCTTACAATGTTGCTATTATTTATAATGACCTTCCTAAAGTATATAAAGAATTTTCATTACCTGTCTTTCGACAAAAAGTTAAAACATTATTACTCAACCCTCCAAACATATAATTTACGTAATCATTCATTTCTTTTTTATTCCATCTTTAATTCAGATTAATAATTTTTTGGTGCATTTGGGTTTGGAAAGTATGACTTTTTCTCTTTTTTTTTAAATTTTACTTTCGATGTAATGAACCAAATCTGTTTGTGGATAGTGTATTCTTTTGAACATCTGCTAGAGACTATATGGTTAAGTGTAAGAGTAGCAGCATGCTAAACCTCGCCATATAAGTCTGACATTTGGCTATACTACAATGTAATTGTGGATAAATAAAGACGTCTATTATTATTATTATCTCCTCCAAAATACTGTCCACTACAACTAATACCTACATTTGTCCTACCGGTGCTTCCATTCTTTTTTGGACCTCTTCAATGTCGCCAAAGCGGCGTCCTGTCATGCCCCTTTTCATCTGTGGAAATAAGAAAAAGGTCAGTCGAATAAGGTGCATGCGGCAGCGGAGCTATGCCATTTTCGCCAGAAACTGTCGAACAGAGATTGCTGTGTGCGCAGGTGCATTATCGTGGTGGAGAACCAGTCTCCTGTCTGCCACAAATCGGGTCTTTTTTGCAGAACACTGTTTCGCAATCGTCTTAAAACCTCCAAATAGCACAAGCTCTCGAATTTTTTCAACATTGGACGCCCAGAGCGAGGTGTGTCATCAATCGACATGTCGCCATTTTTAAATCGAGCAAACCACTCGTACATCTGAGTTTTTCCCATAGCACCATCTTTGTAAGCTATTTTCAACATTAAGACAGTTTCAGCAGCATTTTTACCAGTTAGAGAGCAAAATTTCGCAGCTGCACGTTGCTCACTGAAGCTTGTTATCGCAGAAAAAACGAAACAAGCACGAAACAGCTCTAGCAAAAATGGCACTGAACTGGTAATGAGTTCCGCTGTACGCCTCTAGGGGCAGAAATGTGTACTACACAAGCTCCGCCCACTGCAATGCTATTCCGGTTATTTTTGGGTACCTCCTCGTATAGCTTCCCCACCATCTGCAATCGCTAACCCCTAGTTTTTGACCCCTATAAAAGCTAAGCGCCAAAAAAGTTTGAGCAATTTTTTTCGTTGAACAGATTTTGAAAAACTACAAAACTTTTTCGTCCTTGGAATGTGAAAATTTTATCAAAATAAAGGATTAGCGGACATACAGACAGACACACAGACTGACGGAAATGAGTGACATGATTTTTCGTGATGTACAGGGTGTCCCACTTTCGATGATATTACGGGGTATTTCACTTACTAGTAAAGATAGAATATTGGTTTTCTCAATATTTTGCTACTTTTTCGTGAAAAGAAAGAAAACAAAAATGTTCATAGCTCGCTTCGTTGCTCACATACCTGGGCGAAATTGAAAATATCGTATTTTCAGACCCCCTCGTACCTCCGTTATTCATTAATATATCGCAAAGCTTATGGATTTTGTACATTTTTCTTACTTAGAATCCAGTGGCGTAGTCAGATTTTTTCTATGAGATACCAATTTTTAGGTATCAAACTAACTTAATTTTTTTTAATGGGACACCCTGTATATTTTTTCTCCTTTGATAATTTTTTGTAAACCTTACAAAAATAAAATATCTGCATTACATGTATTCTGAAAAATAACAAAACAAATGCAAAATTTCACCAAATGTGTCCGGATTCGACACTCTTGGTAAGTATTGTGCAGGGTGGGCCATTAAGTTGAGCGTATTTAAAAAGAAAATCATACAAAAAACTACACAACTTATATTTTTAATAAAGTAGACACATTTTCTAAAAATAACATGGAGATGTGAGGGATCGAGACGAACGCACTCCTCGAATTCGTGAAACCTCGCTTTAAACATCGCTCGTGTGATAGCTGACCTCTCCTCGGAAATGAACGAGAGCCGCGCCATCTTGTTGAAACCAGGTCCTGCTATGGTTGGCTTCAAAATTATGCAGTTGTGGAAAGAAAAGGTTGCGTAGCATTGCTCGGTAGCGATTAGAATTTACGGTCTGGCCTTGCTCCTTTTCGAAGAAAATAGGGTTCGATGATTACTTGAGGCGACATGGCCATCCAGACTGTAACATAGCGAGAATGCAAAGGTCGTTGGTGTTTTAATTTGGGATTTTCTGCGGCCCAATACTGGGAATTGTTTGCTGACAAATCCACTCGAATGAAAATGAGCTTCATCGGGAAAGAAAACTTGAAAAGCGCTCCAACATTCTTTCGGCAAACGCACGGCGTAGATGATGGTTCTGCGATGTCAATTCTTACGCTAGTTGAAGTTTATATGGGTGCCACCGATGCGGCATTTCAAAACTTGGCAAAAGGCAATCCATAATTGTTTTAAATGATTTAAAAAGAATAACCACCTTATGCGTTCATTGCGTTCGAGAATCCATTTTAAGCAGTTTCTTTAATGTAAAAGTCTATTAAGGGGTTAATATTGATGTTAATTTTATGTTAATATTAAGATGAGATATTACAAGTTTTGCTTAGTGTTATTATCCGTTAGTGTATAAAATTATTCATAGTTTACTTAGATTTAGCTTTTTTAAAATGTATGTGTCCGTAATATACAGGCTGTTCCTTAATGATATGCTAATATTTAACGGTGTGAATCGACATGAAAAATTAATGTTAGTTTGCTTTATAAAGTATGATACAAAAATGTTTCCTTACAAAAACTCGGGGTGTTGAAGTTTTAGGGAAAAAATGGAAATTAATTAATATTTTCAAACCCGCTTGCATATTTTTCAATGCACAAATAATTTTTAGCTTTAACAGTGGCGTGCGTACGGGTATTGACTTCGATATTTTTTAAGAAAAAAATGGTACGCCAATGGTTTTCTGCCAAATAAAAATTATTTTTGAATTCCCCGTTCAATTTAAAACAAATGATCTCTCTTGAATTGTTTTCCTTCGATGCGTCATTCTTGAGTAAAAAAATAAAAACCGTTCTATTGTCCAACTTGCAAAATTATTAGGTAATTTAATTGAAAAAATTAAACACATTAGGAATAATGAACAACAACAACTGATAATATAAACATAACACTAAAACCAACGAAATGACTACAAAATTGTTGAAAATGGCCTCCTTCACTTAGTATGCTTGGTTCCGCCCTCCTTCTCATGGAATTGTGCAGTTATTTTTTTGGTCATGGCAGTTAAATTAAAAAAAATATTAATTCCAAGCTTTATGTTTGGACGCTATACATGCCCGCAATAATTTTGCATACTTATTGATCGTGTCGTAAAACCACAAATCATTTATTCTTAGTACGGCCCTGTAACGTGCTCGGGGTTCTGGATCGCGATCACATGCAGTATACGTGAATATGTTTAGGTTTGGTCTCTTTCTTCGATGGATACATAATAATAAGATATTCAGATCGACTAATAGTTTTTGCAAATTTTTAGTTGCTTATTTCAGATTTGCTATAATGTCTTTTCTAAGCCAGGTTCTAAGTTTACCAACTGGTGTGATACTGTACGTCAGCAGGAGTTCAAGGTACACCGGTCCTCTTGGAAAGTTCCACTTTTGAGAACACAAAAGGCGATACTGTATCGAGGAACAAGTGATATGATTATTGTTCGTAATGGAAAAATCCAGCAAAAAGCGAAATTCAAATAGAGTTATGGCACAGACTAAGAAGTATAACTGGTCCTTTTGGACGTTGGTCACGCCTTTAATATAGGCTGTATCAAGTTGTTTGCAAAAATCTTTACAGAAGACAACCTTAGATTGTACTGCTAGTAGTTATAGTAGTATGCTTCCGATTTATAACCCTCTAGATTACAGCTGCAAAAGCAGAAAACTTTTCGAAATTAGAAGTATTCAAAATATCTTAGGACTTCTATGAGGTAAATAATGCAGAGTTACCAGTAGATGTAGAAGGGGCATTCGCGAAAAAGCCTTTGGTATTCTGACTTCTAAAGATATCGACATTTTTCGAAGAACTCGGATCCGTTTTTCAGGTGCCTTACTTTTTTTATATACCGAAGCAGAAGCCGAAATTCCAGTACACCGTGGCTGCTATGAGGATCACAAAGGAATTTTGTTATTCCGATTTTTGGACTACCTTTTAGTAGAACTGGGAAAAGCTTCCTGACAAAACTTTTATATCATGCTGGTCTTTGGCATTGCGAACCGTTTCGTTATATTTATTTCTGAACTCGACGTCAGTGGGGTTTTGCAAGAAGGTTCTGTGTGCCTTGATCTTGTGCTGCCGAGCAGTGCCGCACGATTCGTTCAACCAACCGCTGAACCCTGGTTTAGGCACTTTCACGATATGAGGGATGTATTCCTCCATCCCAACGTGGATAATTTCGGTTATCAATGAACAGACAGCCGACGCATCCGCGTCAGCGAAACAACCACCTCTCAAAGGAAAGGTGGAGAAGAAATCTCTCAACCCCTCCCAGTCGGCATGTTTGCAAAGCCAAGTTTTGCATGATCTGCTGCATTGGTCTTCTTTGAATCCAACCAAAGCTCATTATGGGCATTTAAATCACCGAAGAGAACTACCTCTGAAGCTGGGTAATTGGTGATCAGGAATTTGATCTTGACAGGCGAGGTATTCGAGTAGGTCATCCCAAATATGGTCCAAAGGAGAGCCATAAAGGCAGCAAATAAATTTGGGGGACGGTTTGGTGCATTAACAAATATCGGTAATTTAATTTGAGTTTATTTAGTGTGTTGAATATATCCACATCATGATTAGTCAGTGTAGGCGCTGAGATTTTTGCCTCTGTTACAACAGAGCAATGTAACATGTCATGTTTTGTATTCTGATTGAAAAAACAAAGAGTTGTGGATAATTCATTTTATGACCAACATGTTGATCTTCCATCCTTTAATTATGTTCTTATTAGAGGGATCAATGATAATGGTTTAATCCAATCAAACAAAGATTAAGAACTATTGGTATATTGGATGGAATAACCAAAAAGGTACAAAATATCTATATTAAGTACATGCAAGCAAAAATTCAAAGACTGTCTATAGTTCTTTGGTGTCTTCTTTGTGCTTGAAGCCCTTGCTTTGTAGCAATTTATTGCATTCATCTCTGTTCAACCTATCCAAAAAGTATCTTTCCATTTCTTCATCTGCATCATTCAAGAATATCAACTCTGGAGGGGCTCCAGAGATCTTCTTCCACTCTACATTCTCGTATTTAGGGATATCTTCATATACAAAAGCTCGCACTTCTGGCAGCCTGTTTAGGGAGCAGCCAGGGCAGCTCTGAAAATAGCGATTATGTATTGATTTAAGTGACTGATTTAACCATTCAACTTACCTCCAACCTTGCTCTAACGATTTGGTTGTCAGCACTTTGGGCATATGCCACGAACGCTAGGAAAATCAAAGCTGTGGTCCTCATTTCCATTTTAAACTAGAGATACTATGGAGATGTAACTGATTATCTGCTTGGTTTTTTAATTACTGGCAAGATAAAACACTGATAAGCTGTAACATGAGTGTATTTTTACAATCTATACGCAAATTACAAAACGTTTGATTAGGAAATTGAAACCGTGAGTGGGTGAATCGGTTGGATAAGGATACAAATTTTCACATCAAAATAATAATATAACCTAAAATCTAACATTGACACAGAACACAATATCAAGGTTAAGCCCACAAAGCACATAAGAAGTGCGAGCTGCATATTAAACGATGGCAACAGCGTTGACGTTTGCTAGATGGTTGCGCCGCATACTTGCCTGGAGATGTAGAGGAAGTCATTCTCTGCAGACACAAAACACATAAATGTCCAGGCAAAATCTACGACACTTTCTTACCAACAGGGTTTGATTTTTGACAAACGACAGTTTGACTTTCCCTGGGAACTTCCATTTTGTTTTTAATCTGTGTTCTGATTCGATTAAGCTACACATTAAATATTTAATTATTGATTTAATTCCCAATCGAGAAATTATCGTTCATAATCTTCATATAATAATAGTACTAATATCCTTTGTCATATATTTTTCAATGTAAAATACTTGTGATTGTGCGCAGGAGTACTTAAGATTGCATACTTCAATAAGCTTGTTTTTCTTTTGTAAATCAGTCATATCTGGATTTGGGGTTGCCTCTTCGTACATCGCTACTCAAGCAAATATCCATTTTGCAAAAATTCCTATTTCCACATTGTTCGGAAATCTGCTTGTACATACAAAAATAAAGCATTCCATCGTTTTCCAAAAGATGAAAAAACTATTGCTGCATGGAAGGCGGCTTGTAAGATATCTCCCACTAGTAAAGTTTCCAATTATTATGTTTGTGAAGATCGTTTTTCAATGTTTGATCGTAATAATCCGCAAGATCCTTCACGTCTCAGATATCTTACCATACCAGTGTCCCCCAATACACCAATCGAGAAATTATCGTTCATAATCTTCATATAATAATAGTACTAATAACCTTTGTCATATATTTTTCAATGTAAAATACTTGTGATTGTGTGCAGGAATACTTAAGGCTGCATACTTCAATAAACTTGTTTTTCTTTTGTAAATTAGTCATTTCTGGAATTGGGGTTGCCTCTTCGTACATCGTTATTTTAAAGCACTAATGCAAATATCCTTCTTGCAAAAATTCCTATTTCCACATTGTTCGGAAATCTGCTTGTAGATACAAAAATAAAGTATTCCATCGTTTTCCAAAAGATGAAAAAACTGTTGCTGCATGGAAGGCGGCTTGTAAGATATCTCCCACTCGTAAAATTTCCAATTATTATGTTTGTGAAGATCATTTTTCAATGTTTGATCGTAATAATCCGCAAGATCCTTCACGTCTCAGATATCTTACCATACCAGTGTCCCCCAATACACCAATCGAGAAATTATCGTTCATAATCTTCATATAATAATAGTACTAATAACCTTTGTCCTATATTTTTCAATGTAAAATACTTGTGATTGTGTGCAAGAATACTTAAGGTTGCATACTTCAATAAACTTGTTTTTCTTTTGTAAATCAGTCATTTCTGTAATTGGGGTTGCCTCTTCGTACATCGTTATTTTAAAGTACTAATGCAAATATCCTTCTTGCAAAAATTCCTATTTCCACATTGTTCGGAAATCTGCTTGTAGATACAAAAATAAAGTATTCCATCGTTTTCCAAAAGATGAAAAAACTGTTGCTGCATGGAAAGCGGCTTGTAAGATATCTCCCACTCGTAAAATTTCCAATTATTATGTTTGTGAAGATCATTTTTCAATGTTTGATCGTAATAATCCGCAAGATCCTTCACGTCTCAGATATCTTACCATACCAGTGTCCTCCAATACAGTTTCAAATTCAAATAATAGTCATCCTAATAAACCAGGTCCCAGTTCAGTATCTAGAGTTTTATTCATTGACCCTCCTTCTGGAGAGGCTACCACAAATCCAGCCCCTTCTGAACAGAATGAAAATTCCAGTGTTATTCTGGAAGATCAAAACATTGAAATCGGTGGAAGTGGCCCTAGAACAGAATCTAATTATTTAGATAAATTTTTTTGTTAGAGAAGGGCTCTCGCATATTAACAAGGTCTGGTACCTCAAAGAAGGAATTGAGCCCTAAGGAATCAATTATCTATATAAAGTCCACCGGAATGTTTGCTCAAGGCTATCCAAATTAAAATCAATTTTCATTGTCGCTGGGGTTGACAAATCAAACTATTTCAAATTTGTTGAAGGCTGCCAAATATCAATTAGATCTGTTATGTCACTATGGAGGGATCTCAAGGAGAAGGACTTGAAATATCTTTGTTTGAGAAATTTAAATCAAGATTCCCTGGAAAATTTATTTGGTCAAGTAAGACAGCATGGTATCTTCAATTCAAATCCCACCAGTCATCAGTTGTTGCTGCCTTAAAAACAGTAATTATTAATAATTTCAGCACACCTTTTTCTAAAGGTAATTGTGAAATCGATTTTTGTGATACTTTGGTCGATTTCAGTGACTTTTTGGATAAATATGACCAAAGTAATAATACAGTGCTTGATTTAAACCCTGAGATTCTAAGTGGCTCTGACATGGAAATAATGGACAGTTCTGTTGAATGGAATCCTTCAAATGGTTATGTGGCTGGGTACATTTTGGACAGACTCAAAATTGATAGTAATTGTGAATCCTGTGCAATGTTATTTGCTGTGGTTGTCACTGAAAAACATCTATTTGAGACGTTTAAAGAGCATGATGAGGAAACACGATTGAAGTATGCAATTGAAGATTTAATTAACCTGATTGGTCTTTTGGATATATGCATTTTTAGAGCAGCATGGTACAGAAGACCAACTGGAAGCTAAATTTAAACAGAAGTATTCCTGCATCCTTCAAAATTACAGCTTTCGTCAGCAGCATGATGTGGCAAACGGTATAATTGAAGAAACTGCTCGGTTGGGAATTTACAAATATGTAAAGAGAAATTCTTTGAAAAGGGGTGGTTAGACTACTAATAGTCATATATCAACAAATAAGAAATTCAAGACAGCTAAAGTCAGGTAATGCTTTTTTATGTAGTCCAGCACCCTTCATTCATTGAATTTTCTATTTACTTTCAGTAACCAAATACTACTGTGATATTATTATTAAACAATATTTTTTTTGTTTCATAGTTGCAGCATCCTTGGGAGGGAGCAGTTGGACGAAGAATAATTATTTATTTTGTTACTCCCTCTAATTTTAAAGCGATGAGGAGCTTTTGGTTTTAGGTATGAGGAATGTCTTGTTCATTTTTAACTTTGATTCCTTCTTTGAAGACAATTTTCCTCATTTTTACACTATAAAAGATAATCTTTTTTCTCAGATTATATTTTTATTTCAGTTATTTATTTAACTACCGAGATTTATTTTTTGTTGTTTTAGTATGAATGTTTACATTTCAGTGATAAATATACCTCATGATGGATGAACAATAGGTAGTGCTTGCTAAACACTTTGATTACTGAGGGTCCCTTTTTATCGTTTTTTATGCTACTAATGTATAATTTGTAATTTTTTGAAACATCACTTTTTCACTTAATAATATAGAGAAAGCTCCGGATGTATAAAAATACCTTTATATATTGACAATGTACTGTGATGATAAATTATTACTTATTATTATTCATATATTTAACTATTTAATAAATATTCTATTTAATTGCACATTTATTTTTTATTATCCCAAAATTGGTTATCAGCAAAACTGCTGAATCAGGTATTTCCTTTATTCAGGATATTTTATGCGTCTATGCTCATAAAATATTTCTTAAATATGGGAAATATCACTTTCAGCAGATTTTAAATTGTAAACAAGCTAAATCCTCGGAACATTCGTAGCATTCCTAATCTCCCGGCGCATTCTTTGAATTCCTTCAATAGTTCCTCCAGATCTCCAGGCAAGTAGGTGGCGCAACCATCTCACACAACGTCAACGGTGTTGCCGTTATTTAACGTGCAGCTCCCACTCCTTCAGTCTTATGTGTTATGTGCCTGGAATAAAGAATGCCAGGAATGTGCCTTGATTTCTACTGTTCATAATTTGGAATCTGCTCTTCCAGCAACTTTGCTGAGAACAAGTTTCAGAATAATAATATATGATGCACAAAATACATTTATTTTCAAAAAAATCACATACTGTAAGCATCTTTTTGACAATGATACAAAAATTGTATTATATGAAAATATGGATAATTTACTTCCTAGTTCTTGTTGTGTTTTGTAGCACAACACAAATGCCTCACTTTACACGGAACATTATAATGGAACAACTGCAAGACTTGATAATTTATAATTTACTAAAATACATATCCTTAGGCCAGCCATAACTCACCTGCAAAACGTACAAAATATTAGCAATATGAAAAAAGTGTTATGGCAGCCAATGCTTTGTATGTCTATATATACCAATTTTATTCATTCTCATCAAAAGTTAGTTATGGAACATACATCATTATGAATAGGTAGGTATTCAAATGCTTCCCACATACCACTACTTCACCACAATCACAGCAAACAAGTAAATAATGTTGTTCGCCGCTACTGGTTCTAACCTACAACCATCAAACACGTGACATCTCGTGTAGAAGCATAGCGAACCAAGCTTCCAACGTTATAACGCTTTTTGACGCGGGTCAAATTTACCGACAAGAGCCAGAACGTGCCATGTGGCGAACGTTGGACACATGCAATCCGTCAGCGCTTTCCCACACGATGTGGCGAATGGCCATGTGACCACATTTGTAAGGCATTCGCCACATCGTGTGGGACCGGCTTAAGGAGAATATTTCGATCTATGACATACTGACATACATGACAATCATGTGATGACAGATGATAATGACATATTTTGATCCAGGGGGTTCCACGTTCCACATGATATGCTCTGGATATGCTTTGTTTATGTTTATTCAAATTCAAATTGTATAAAGTATTTGTCCGTATGTGTTTTGGAAAATAAAACTGTTTTTGGATTTCTAGATCATATTTGAATAATGAACGTTTTAGAACTCTATAGTGGAATTGGCGGCATGCAGTTAGCCTTAAAGGGTAACCTAAATTTTAGCATAATATACATTATGGGGGCGTGGGGACCTTATGAGGATTATTATATATGTAAATTTAATTATGTCAAACTTTCCAGAAAGTGGTGTCGATGGAAGAATTATCGCAGCTTTAGAAATAAATACTATAGCTATCGAAATTTACAAGCACAACTTTCCAGAGGCTAATCTACTAAATGCCAACATAGAAGGTTTAACAGCAGAGTTTGTCAATAAGCTGAATGTTAACACAATTTTGATGTCTCCTCCATGCCAGCCCTTTACAAGAAATGGTTTGCAAAATGATGTAAATGACAAACGAACTGCCTCCTTTCTACATGTTTTAAGTTTGTTAAAGGACCTTGATATCAGAAATATTCTGATAGAGAATGTCAAAGGATTTGAGACATCTACAATGAGAAACATACTTGTTGATACTTTAAATGAGAATGGTTACACATTCCAGGAGTTCTTGTTAACACCACAACAATTTGGCATTCCCAATTCAAGGCTTCGGTATTATTGTCTGGCAAAGAAGTTGCCAGAACAGTTTAGTTTTAAAATAACTGATATGGTAAGTTTTGCTGAATGAACCATTAAATAGAATCACACATGCAGAAAGATAAAAAATACTGATGTTTGATAACATAGGTGTTCTTTTCCAAACTACAAGTGTAACAAATTACAATAAAAACTCATTACACTTGTACTTGAAAAAGGCCACATAGGTGGCTGATAAATAAGTAACATTTTTCTTGCTACATATGTTTATGCATGGTGGCGTATCGAAAACGAAACAGACGCATTTACTGGCAGCTCCGTTTTTTTTGGAAAAACGCTCAGACCCGTCGATTTTGTTTTCGAGAGGGACACAAGTTTGTCAAAAAATCACGTTAGCACTTGCAGCTCCCTAAGCGGAGGTGACACCACACCCAAAATCTTAAATTGAAAGGGGGGTCGAGTGATACCTTATTTTAAAGGTCTTTCAATTCCCTTTATAATGATATAAAATTAATGTAGTTTTGAAGATTCATTGATTTAAAGCCTAAATAAAACTAATACATTTGGCAGCAAAGTAATTTAAAAACGAAGAATGAACTGACCCGTTAGGCAAGTAAATGTTGAAAATGGCCACCATGACTCTCCATGCAATAATAAAGATTTTAGTCAAAACATTGCCGCACATTTTGCAATATTTGAGGAGTAATTTGAAGGCACTCATTCACAGTTCTTTGTCGCAGGTCTTCTAATGATGTTGGCTAAGTAGCATAGATTTTGCTTTTTAAATGATCCCACATAAAGAAATCCAAAGGTGATAAATCTGGCGATCTTGCGGGCCATTCAATGGCACCTCTTCTACCACTCTATCGATCTGGAAACGTCTGATCTAAATATTGTCGAACACCTAATGCGTAATGTGGTGGGGCACCATCCTGTTGGAACATCAACTTATTCGCAATGTACCACCGATCACTCTGATTTTCAATTATGGCTGTTAATGCAGGATCTATTGCGTCTTCCAGTAATTCCAAATACATTTCACCCGTCAAATTTCCAGGTAAGAAAAAAGGGCCAACTAAATGATCGCCAAAAGTGCCAGCCCAAACATTTAATTTTTGTAGCTGCTGTGTATGAACCTCATGATAAATTCTGGGATTAGAATTGGACCAATATCGGCAGTTATGACGAATTACTACGCCATTTAAAAAAAAGGAACATTAGTCGGAAAAGCAAGTGTTGAATAGAAAATGTTCATCGTTTATAATTCGTTCACTCATATCTTCACAAAATTGTAATCGCCGATCAAAATCGTCTTCATTAAGTTTTTGTACCAGCTGAATTTTATACGGATGAAAACTATGCGCCTTTAGAATCCGTTGGATAGTACGTCGACTAACACACACAGTCACCAATTCGCGGGTACTTAACGTAGGATCTACATAAACTTGCCCTAAAACCCCCACTTCTATTGCTTTGTTCCTTATGGGATTTTCAATGTTGCGTTTTTTATTGGCGACTGACCCAGTTTCCCGAAATTTAGCTACAAGTTCTAGAACATATTTTCGATGCACGTTACTGTTCTCATGTCGCTCATTAAATATTTCTGCTGTTCTATTAGCGCACTGATTATTTCCGAAAAATATTTCGATAATTTCAACTCTTTCTGCTGTGGAATATACCAGGGTTAATTTATGTAATAAAGCGTTACAAGTTATTTTAACAACAAAGTTTGGTCAAATCAATCGCAAACTATGTACTAAATTCCTATTTAAAATAAGTACGAGATATTTCCTTATCTTTCTTCAAGAAATAACTTTTTTGCCACAAAAAAACGCTCCAATAGCTATTTTCAACAACAAAATGATAAACAAGCCATGGGCATAGCGAAGGAAATCATTTACTTATTAAGTAAATTCTTTTAGTCAAATTTCTTCTGAAAGTAGTACAAACTAATCTGATGTACCTATTAAAGTCTACTTTAAGCTTTATATCAATAAATCTTCAAAACAACTGAATTGAAGCTCATGTATTTTACATCATTATAAAGGGAATTGAAAGACCTTTAAAATAAGGTATCACTCGAACCCGCTTTCCATTTAAGATTTTAGGGTTGGTGTCACCCCCACCCAGGGGCTGCACGTGTTAACGTGATCTTTTGCCAAACTTGTGTCCCCCTCGAAAACAAAATCGACGGGTCTGAGCGTTTTCCCAGAAAAAACTGAGCTACCAGTAAATGCGTCTGTTTCGTTTTCGATGCGTCACCCTGAATATATATTTTTTCAATGGTCAGAGAAATATGGAAATACTTAAATCAGCAAGACAATCATACTACAGTGAAATCTCCTTTGGACAGCCACCAATCGGACACTGAAAACTGAATATATTAAAGAAACTGGGACATTTAAAATGTATATGTATATAAATGTCCTTGAAATAAACAAAAAACTTTAAACTCAAGAAAAAAAGCTTTGTTACCTTTAGATGTATACAAAGTATGTATATATATATATATATTATATATATGTATAATATACAGTAGTGGACAAAAGTTTGGAAACAAATATTAACATTATGAACTATTTCATATACCGAAACTAAAATTGTGAAGGAACAGTTAATATAAATATTAAAGTCTACCTTTGGCTCCCGTACTAATACAAGGTTTATCTTATCAATATTCAAATTCTCTGAAAATAAAAACACGCGTTTTTTAAATACCACAGTATTTGTAACGACAAAAGTATGGAAACATTTGAGTTTTGCCGTATTTATACATTTTGCGATACTCTGATATTGCGTGCGGTAATATTAACGTCAGTGAGAATGGCAAAAGTAAAAGGATTTTCAAGAGATTTAAGAGACGAAGTAATTGAATTATTTAGGTGGACTAAAAATTAACAAAGGGACGATTTTGAAAATTATTAGTCGATATCAAGAATACAGAGCCACAGATTTTCAAAAGAATCGTAGAAGAGTGTGCCGAGAATCTTTCTGTCAGAACAGTGCACAGACCCTTGGTGGATTTCGGGCTTTTTGGTGAGCGTCCAGCGCAAAAGCCTCTTATTTAAAAAAAATCGTACTCGACTCGAATTTGATAAAACTCATCTAACTTGGACAGAGCAACAATGGAAAGAGTTTATGGTGCGATGAAAGTAAATTTAACTTGTTTTGATCTGACGGTACGGCATATGTGAGACGTCCAATACGAAAAAGATTCGATAAAAAGTATCATTTGCCAACAGTTAAGCACGGTGGAGGCAACATCATGGTTTGGGGCTGTTTTTCTTGTTCTGGAACGGGTCCAATTGTTAAAATTATTGGGAAAGTGGATCAAAAATTTCACAAAGATAATCTTAGTAAATACATGCTTCCTTTGCTGAAGAAGAAATGCCTTTATGATGGACATTCCAGCAAGATAATGACCACAAGCATACCTTAAAATTCGTAAAAGACTGATTAAGACAAAAAAATGTTAAACCCTATAAAACATCTCTGGGAGCATGTTAAAAGACAACTGTCAAGAAAAACTTAAAAAAATAGGAACGATTTATTTGATTATGTAAAAAATATATGGCAAAATATTCCAAGAGACATCTGTAAAAAACTGGTGTCTTCTATGAGCAGCAGATTCAGAGGGTTGAAAAGAAACATGTTTTTTAAAAAAGCAAAAATTATATTTTTTTGCCTATATAATCTAGCAACGTTAATGAAGTTCCTTAAAAGTGTTATTACTGTTTTTGATCCAGCTCTATCAGAGGAGCAGATGTCGGGCAGTGTTGAATGCTAAATAAAGGCTATGCTACCAAATATTAGCTAAACAGTATTTTTCAAATCTTTTTGTAGAGTTATTGCATTTAATTTTGTAATACAAAATATGTTTCCATACTTTTGTCGTCTCATTTTTGGTCGTAAAATAATTTGAAAGTATTTCAATGCTAGTCTGTAGTACCACAGCAAAGAAATTGTCATTTGTATCCTCAAGACTGTAAGCAAACTACATTAGAAAAAAATAGTCATTAATAATAAAGAATAGAAAATTAGCTCACTTTTTAAAAATTACAAAGAATGTTTCCAAACTTTTGTCCGCTACTGTACATATATGTAATGACACAAAACAATGAAATAAAAAGTCACTTTAAGGACGCAAACATTTATTATTGACGATTGTTTCTTCTTTTTCTTCAAAATGGCGTCTGAAGTCGTTCTCTTATTTAGAAAGAACCTCCAAAGGTGTATCTTCCCTCCTTGATTTTCGAAAAAAATTTTGAGTTGCTTGGTCAGGGTCATAGCTTTACCATAATTTGGAATATTTAATCTAGGTTCAAAAAATCATAAAGGTCCTTTTATCAGTCAATTTCAATATATTTTTATTTTTGAGGATATCTGAAAGTACATTAAGTGATAAGTCATCTTCTGGGTCAGGTGTATCGGCCTCATTTAACTGGTCTTCACTTGGCATACCTTTATGCTTAAATCCTGATTTCCAGATGCAATTTTGCACTGTTTCTTTATTACCTCAAAAGCTGTGCCAGCAGTTTCAATTTTTACTAGCACGTGTTTGAGTATTAGACTTCGGTAATGAGTTTTAGAACTCTTCATAATTCCCGATCAACTCGGGAAAGTTCCTAATTTACGCTGGAAATGCACCACATAGGCTGCGTTTGTACTGAAATTTTAAAGTCGGTGAACCCCCGGTTTAATCGAGAAATGCAATAGCGATACTCTCAACAGAAAAAATAAGACAAGGCGTTTCTTTTTATTTTGCTTTTTGTCCGGTTAGGAGAATATTTTCTCGTGTCCGCGTCTGTTCAGAAAGAGAGAGTTAATACAATGCAAATTATATGAGAGTTGGTCGGGACCATGAGAAACTGTCCGTTTAAAGGAGATGTCGCTGTAGGAGACTTTCACTGTATATGTTTTAGGAGCTGTTTCAAAATGTATCTTGTGTTTTTGTTACAGAAACATTCTTTGCCAGTTGAGATTGAAGCAGCAGATTGCTTTCCAATATCGACCATTCTCGATGATGATGTAAATGAAACATTTTACTTGTCGGACTCTATTTTGCAAAAGTATTGTAACATCATTGACATATGCTACAAGCATTCAAAGAGGTCATGTTGTTTCACTAAAGCTTATGGCAGATTCATAGAGGGTACAGGAAGTATTTTTACTGATAAGACTGAGGAGGAGGTGGAAAAAGTATATCTACAGGCAAACCAGCTCACGGATACTGCAGTTAAGGGCCAGTTATTGAAAAACTTAGGCTTGAGGTTCTTTACACCTAAAGAGGTGTGTAGACTTATGAGTTTTCCTGATACTTACAGTTTTCCTACTTCTGTTAGTGATAAGAAGAAGTATATGGTATTAGGTAATAGTATTAATGTAAAAGTTGTATCAGAATTAATCAAATTATTGTATAGTTAGCAAACATTTTTACCTATTTACAGTTGTGAATATAATAATAAAAATCTTTCGTCTGTTATTTTTTACAAATACCTTCCAGTAGGTGTATGCTCCATATATGCCTTTATGCCTAAAATAAAGAATTAATTTTTGGGAATAATATAGTTTTTTAAGCTCTGAAAATAATCTTCCAACTACACAATATGTCCCCCAAGGTATGGACACGCCCAAATACAGGGTTATCCAAATTAAGTGTCCACCATTAGTAACTTTGTTATTAGTGAAAATACAAAGTTGTTTGAATTAGCAAATTAGTAGCATTTTTAACGCTGGTAAAAATGAGAAATAAAAAAAAAACAATTGAGAGTCGTTATTTTGATTTTTTTCAGTAAAATAACATTTTTTTAAATGGAAACCCCTGTATATTATATTTTTTTCTGTTAAAGCATCAAATTTTAAACAAAAAAGCTTACAATAACTTTTCTCCTAGGTTACAAATTGTTGAAGTTATGGCCTCCAATCTGAAACAGTTAAATTGTATCGACAAACTTTATTTTCAACATCAACTTATAATCTTACAAAATACAATAACAATTTTTTTTAAAGAAGATGCTCGAAAACACCACCTTGTTCTTCAATACATTTTTGGGCACGTTTTTCAACTGCTCGAACTGTCTTAAGTATGGTCCTACCATCTATCTGGGTTATCTTTTCCCTAACTGCAGTCTTTAACGCGTCAAGGTTATCGTACCTTCGCTTGTAAATTTGGTTCTTTAAGTAACCCCACAAGAAGTAATCAAGTGGGTTTAGATCTGGTGATCTGGGAGGCCACTGTATTGGGCCATTTGCTCCTATCCAATGATCATTAAAAGTAGTACTTAGAAAATGATAAGTACCTCTGGAGTTGTGGGCAGGTGCGCCATCTTGCTGAAAATGCAGATGATGTCTACTTGTAAGATCCAATTCGTCTAAGAAATTAGTCAGAATTTCTGACATAAATTCCACATATCTTTCACCAGTTAGGGTTCCCTCATAAAAGAACGGGCCAACAATTTTTGAACCAATTATACCGCACCAAACGTTGAAACTGAAACGGACTTGTGGGCCTCTTGGATGTACTAACAAAAGATTTTCTCTTGACCAATAATGGTGGTTTTTTCTATTAAACATTCCAGAATTTGAAAAATTTGATTCATCTGTCCATAAAAGGTAACGAAAGTTATTTACATTTTGGCGACAGAAGCTAAGATACCAATGGCAAAAAACAAGTCTTCTCTCTGGATCCCCTGCCAAAAGCGTTTGAACTGGTCGGTACTTATACGGAATAAATTTGTATTTTTTTAAAATCCTTTGAACAGTACCATAACTGAAATTAGAGTGCTTGAGAATATCTGCTATTGAATTCTCACGATAAGCTTCAAAATATCCAATAACTGCAATTTCCGTGGCCTCGCTTATTATGAATTCTTTTTTTGCCCTTGTTTTAGCAAAAACATTTTCGTTGCCCCTAAATTTTCGATAAAGTCTCAGAAAATATCGTTCATACGGTTGAATGCGAGCGGGATATAATTCACTGTAGTATATTCTCTTGCTCTCAAGGAGGATTTTCTGCACACTAAATAGCATTCTAACATATCACACTTTTCTTCATGGGAGAACATTTTTCTTTAAATTAATGACACAATAAAGCTTATAAACAAGTATTTACACTAATGTTTGACATTAACGCCATGTTGTTTTCATAGCCGTCTTAATATTATAATACTGCAAATAATTAAAAATATTTATCGTTATTTTGACTTTATTTTTGACTTTAGCGGAAAAGTCATTATGAACTTTTTTGTTTAAAATTTGATGCTTTAACAGAAAAAATATAATATACAGGGGTTTCCATTTAAAAAAATGCTATTTTACTGAAAAAAATCAAAATAACGACTCTCAATTGTTTTTTTTTATTTCTCATTTTTACCAGCGTTAAAAATGCTACTAGTTTGCTAATTCAAACAACTTTGTATTTTCACTAATAACAAAGTTACTAATGGTGGACACTTAATTTGGATAACCCTGTATATCGGAAGCTAGGGGTGCTAGAAAAACGCTTTCGATTCAAAGGTTTTAGGAAACCAAATGGTGCTGCTCTTAGATTTGATGTTGACGTTCACCTTGAAAATCAGTTCAAAGGCAAGTTGATTTTCCAAATGGGAACTGCAGAAATAGAAAGGCAAAATGATTTTCTATTCAACGGTGTAAATATCATAGGGCAGTGGTCGCCAACCTATTCAGTGTGTTGAGCTACTTTGATAATTTTGGAATACTTAAATAGTGAGCTACCTAGTCGTAAGCAATGTAAGCCAACTTAATTGAAATTATACACAGTTGTATGCGACATACATGTATTTATTTTACTAATGCTAATACAAAAAAATGTGTTCAATGAGGAGCCTGACACTCGGACTCTGTCAATTTTTTTATGTTTGGAGTATAATTTGATACCGCCACTCGAATACAATCATCCAAATGTTCATCTGTAAGGGGATATTACAGTATTTGTTTTTAATAAACTTCATATCTGAAAAAGAATATTCACACAAATAGGTTGAACTAAATAACGCTTTCACTTTCAAGGCAATTCGACATAAAACTAGTTTTTGCGAAGCAATAAACAGGCAGGCTTATACCTGGATTAAGTACATTTCTTGTCTACTGTAATAGGTGGAGGCGATGCTGGCAGAAATGAATTTGTGCGATCAATAAACAAACCACAAGATTGAACTGCCGTGTACAATGATTTTTGTATTGCTTTTCTTATTGCCTTACTAGAAAAATCTGTTGGGTATATGATGGAGTTTACTAGAACTTTACAGCTTGTTGTCTGCCTTCTTCTACAAACTTCACCAAATCGAGACGCTGTCAACCTTATCATCCGATGAAGGCGCCACAAAGTACAGTCCTGTGATTTGGTGACTTGTTCGATCTGCAAAATCTCGTCGTCACTTTTTTTAAGTTTCCCTGAACATTCTTGCTTAGCAACCTCCAAATCAATCATGTCAGGTTTTTGACAGAACTCGCCATAGAACTATTCATTTTCTTTGGAATTGCTATCTGAATTGTTATTTTTATATCAGCTTTCTTTGGCCTGAGTTTCTTTTCAAGATTCATGCGTTTGAGTCTCTGTTCCATCTTAGCGATAAGCGAGGTTGGACTAAGCTTAGAACGCAAATGTATTTGGACCACATAGATAGGCCGCTGGGTATTGTGGCTCATTACAGCTGCAGCACATCTTCCATGGTATGTCCTCTTCTTGCAATAAGTTATTCGCTGTATTTTGCGATTATAGAGTTGAACTGCTCGACACTATTGTTGACCTCATAATGAATTAAGCTCAATGCATTCGTAATTAAATTGGTCGCATATGACCTTTTATTGTCCATTGTCAACCTTGATAAAAAAGGCAGTCAAGAACAATCACACCAACAAGTGTACAGCACAACAATTCAACAACACAATATCGACGAACAGTAACAAGAGGAGAAAAATACTAGATCGCTAATCGAAATCCGACTCTGTTATTATAAAAATTTACCTTGGATGCACCCGTAGTCATCCTTTGCTCTTTTAAAGTAGCGCCGACGACAGTCTAGGGCCAGCCCACCCTCGTTTCCTTTTCATCCCCCGTTACCTCAGCAGATGGTGCTCGTGATTGTAGGAGCCCCGTAAGAAAATGTCCACATAATGCTTGCTGATGGACAATGCAGTGGTAACAGAGAAATTGCGGAAAACTTTCATCTTTACGACATAACCCCAAGAGACCCTTATTACGACCCACCATAGCTGGAGAGCCATCGGTTGTCAAGCCTACCACTTTCGATATTGGAATTTTCCCAGAAGAAATAATATTTTTAAAAGAAGAAAACAAGTCCTGCCCAGTAGTCTGTCCTTTTAGTGGAGGAAACTTCCAAAGATCTTCTTTAATCGTATAATCACTAAAAACCATCCTGACGAACACGGCCTTCTGACATCTGCGGATTCATCCAGCTGCAGTGAAAAATAAGCACAGATACAGACTACTCGTCTCATCACTGTATTAGCAGAAAGTTGCATAGATTTTATAACAGACACTATCTTTCTAAAGTTAGCAAATAATAAATCTGCAGCTTCTAGAAACGCCTGTTTTATCATTTCCCTGTCTTCATGAGGTTTCTTTTGTGTAATTATCTGGGACACCCGGTAAGATCCTCCAGTTGCAGCCTTACCTTTGTCGATTGTTTTCAAAAACATTGTCTGTTGTCCAATTAACTGATTTTCTAATCGTTTCAGTTTTCCCGTTCTGGTTACAAAACGTAATAGGAATGATTTTTCAAAATTCGAATTCGAATAGTGCCTCTCTATATTCCCTTTTTTGGCAACGGAAACTTAACAAACATACATTTTTACCTTTAACTTCTGTAAAGAAATATTGTTCTTCCCATTCTGAATTGAAATGGTGTTTCTTCATCTTCTTACTACTGCTCATAATGTTTTTAATTGCAGGCCAACTCTAACCCAACCGCTGGACTTAGAGCCGTTCAGTTTTAAACTGAGCGCACTGTCGCCGCGCCTTGCGTATTTATTCCGTTCAAAGTAATCGAGATCGTTCTCGTACAGATCGCTCACCGCAGTGTTGGCGCTGCTTCTGTTTATTATGGGAACAAAATTTACGGAAGCTTCTACACCTCTTTAAAATATGTTGTGAGCCACCAGAATTGCATTTGCGAGCTACCAAGAGGTCGTGATCGACGGGTGGCGACCACTGGTTTAGGCTATCACAAGCTTTGGATAGAACCAAACCAAAAGCATGATCATACAACTACTTCCTGTCTCCCAACCAGTCAATATCGTACCAACAAACCCATAAACAGTTGTTTCTACTGATTTACCATTAATATACTAAGTGACATATAAATCCGAACACCCAGTTTAAATGGTTTTATTTTAATAAAAGTTGGTGAATCTACTTCTCTTACTGTAAATACCAAGTGAAAAAATTTTCAGCCTTATCAGTTGGATATTCCGGTTTTTATACTGCTTTTTTTTAATTCACTAACGCTCTAAAAATGAATACTTCAGCCGCAGTAAAAAATCAACGTTGGCGGATTTTGGTTCTTGACATCCTTTACGATCGGTTACAATGCCTAGAGTACGGAGACCTGTACGATTTCGTCAACTTAGTGAGTTTGATAGGGGCCGTATAGTGGTACTTCGGGAAGCTGGACTTTCTTTTCGGGCAATTGCAGTTAGAGTGCAAAGAAGTGTAGACACTGTGGTTAGGTGTTGTCAGGCATGGCTTCGAGAAGGCCGTACGCAAAGAGCAAGGGGCACTGGACGCCGCCGTAGAACAACAGACCGTGAAGATCGCCGCCTAAGATTATTGGCCTTAAGGGACCGTTTCTCCACTACCAGGTCCATTGCAAATGAATGGTTTGCAGAACACGGAAGACCTATTGGCATGCGAAGTGTTTACCGATGAATGAGAAGTTTTAGCTTGTTTTCATACCGGCCACACTGGGTCCTCGCTTTAACTCGAGAACACCGACGTAATCGCCTTGAGTGGTGCAGACAACGGTCACTCTGGGATCAGGAATGGAACAGTATTATCTTTAGTGACGAGTGTCGATTTTGTTTAGGCATGCACGATGGTCGTGCCAGGGTTAGAAGGCGACGTGGTGAAAGGAGGAATCCACAGTTTTTTGTTGAAAGACATGTTCATCACACTGTTGGAGTTATGGTTTGGGGTGCTATAGCTTATGGTTCCAGGTCACCTTTAATCTTCATCAGAGGTAACATGAGCGCGCAGCGTTATATCCACGAAGTTCTAGAACCCCATCTTTTACCCTATCTTTATTTATTTATTTATTTATTTATTTACAAATTTACGGGATAAACCCATTCGGTTACAGGTTGTAAAAGTACAATCTTAACCTAATAAAATTCACACACATCATAAATAAAGTATCTAACATATGAACATAAAGTTTGACTATTTACTAAATTAAAATATTAAAATATTAAAACGTGCATAAAAATAGTTACAAATACTAAAAAAAAAAAAACTAAATAAACTGAACAACTAAACAACACAGCAAACATCACCAGCAATTAAGACATTTTAAAACTTTAGCTAAGATTTCTATCTTTAAGGAACTTTTGAGAGAGCATAGTGAAGTATTAAAAAGGTCTATATCACAGTCATTACAATTTCTCATTATCCTATCCATGCTACTATTCGAGCCATACAAAGTTCTATGCCGACAAGGTTCAAAGGATCTTCGTTCTCTTAAATGCCTAGGAGAAACATACAGACACCCTTTCAGATCCAACTTTCCAACAAGATAATGCCCGACCACATTGTTACCATGGCCACCAAGATCTCCCAACGTATCTCCAATTGAGCACGTGTGGGATATGATGGGTAGGAGATTGCTCAATTTGCAACGTCCTCGTCAGACTCTAGAAGCACTTCGAGAGGAGTTGGTGGTTGCCTGGAATGAGATACCACAGGAGGACATTGACCACCTGATCAGAAGCATGCCTAGGCGCGTTGGAGAATGCGTAGCACATCAGGGTGCATACACACATTATTAAAGGTCAAAGGGCTTTAAAGCAGTGCAATCATTTTGAAATTTTTATCATTTACTTATTATGCTTCATTAAGTACTTATACAAAATTTTATTAAAATAAAACCATTTAAACTGGGGTTCGGATTTATATGTCACTTAGTATATATCCATGTCGTGATCTACTCATAAATTTTAAGTCATAAGAAACTGCAAAAGTCGTGTGCACATAGCAATCTCGAAAATTTTTGGAAAAGTAGATACTGAACTAATCGGATTATAATCTTCTAGTAAGGTTTTGTCTTCCTTTTTCTACAGAGGTTTGAAAATTGAAATTTCCTGCGATTGAAAAGGTAAACAACTTCACAATAGAAGAGCGTTGACGGAACGGTAGAAATCTAGAAATATCCCAGGTCGTTCTGAAGAAGAGAAATGACTATTAAAATCAAGGAGGCCATAAAGGCGCCCTACGATTGTAGGAACGACTGATAATACGGCATTAAGTTATTTGAAAAGGGTAGGCCTTGGAATTATCGGACAATCACTTATTTCGCATGCCAGATTTATTCCAGGATCATTTTTATTTTTTCCTGATTGAAAATAAATTGCATGTTGTCATTGCCACTTTTTCTCCTCTACAAGAATTTAAATGGACTTTTCAGTACTAAATTCAGTGATGTATTTCCTTTGTTGGCCATGAATTTGTCGGAACGAAAATTATTTGAAATAAAGAGGAGGCGAAAGTTGAACACAAAATGAAATTTGTATTGATTGTAATCACAATAATAATCATAGATAAGCAGAGGTAAATCATACCAGATTTATTCTCTTCTCAGTCGTTCAAATGCTGTTACTATGTTCAATTTGAAGTGCGGTCTGGTATATGAAACAAATGGCAGTTTCAAGGCCTACTTAGAAAATTCCGTTTTTCTGGAAAAAGTGAGGTTTGACATATTATAAATTTCTGGATTCAGAATTAAAAATTATATTTATTTGCGTAAAAATCCAATATGGCGTACGTAAGAAAAAATGAGGTTGATGCTGGAGGATAAGAGAAATAACGTCGTATTGAAATTCTATACTAAGTGACATATAAATCCGAACACCCAGTTTAAATGGTTTTATTTTAATAAAAGTTGGTGAATGTATTTATCTTACTGTAAATAACAAGTGAAAAAATTTTCAACCTTATCAGTTGGACATTCCGGTTTTTATACTGCTTTTTTTAATTCACTAACGCTCTAAAAATGAATATTTCAGCCGCAGTAAAGAATCAACGTTGGCGGATTTTGGTTCTTGACATCCTTTACGATCGGTTACGATGCCTAGAGTACGGAGACCTGTACGATTTCGTCAACTTAGTGGGTTTGATAGGGGCCGTATAGTGGGACTTCGGGAAGCTGGACTTTCTTTTCGGGCAATTGCAGTTAGAGTGCAAAGAAGTGTAGACACTGTGGTTAGGTGTTGTCAGGCATGGCTTCGAGAAGGCCGTACGCAAAGAGCAAGGGGCACTGGACGCCGCCAAAGACCGTGAAGATCGCCGCCTAAGATTATTGGCCTTAAGGGACCGTTTCTCCACTACCAGGTCCATTGCAAATGAATGGTTTGTAGAACACGGAAGACCTATTGGCATGCGAAGTGTTTACCGACGAATGAGAAGTTTTGGCTTGTTTTCATACCGGCCGCACTGGATCCTCCCTTTAACTCGAGAACACCGACGTAATCGCCTTGAGTGGTGCAGACAACGGTCACTCTGGGATCAGGAATGGAACAGTATTGTCTTTAGTGACGAGTCTCGATTTTGTTTAGGCATGCACGATGGTCGTGCCAGGGTTAGAAGGCGACGTGGTGAAAGGAGGAATCCACAGTTTTTTGTTGAAAGACATGTTCATCACACTGTTGGAGTTATGGTTTGGGGTGCTATAGCTTATGGTTCCAGGTCACCTTTAATCTTCATCAGAGGTAACATGAACGCGCAGCGTTATATCCACGAAGCTCTGGAACCCCATCTTTTACCCTATCTTGACACCCTGGCA